TTGCTTGTCGCAGAGACCGAAGAGCGCGATGACGTTGCAGGAGCTGCCGAGTAACCAAGCCACTGCAATTGTACTCTAAAAGGGCAGATAAAGATTGTTTGGTTTTTTGTTTTTTGTTTTTGTTTTTAAGGTGCCGATAAACGGACAAAACCGTTTGGTCCGCCTTACTTTAAAAATCTGGCATTAACTGTTACCAAGTGACTACATTGAGATGATAAATAAGAAATTGAATGCGTTAATCCGGTTAACGACATATTAAATTCCGCCACTCGAGTCTTAAAAATATGTATGTAAATTATTTCGCGCAATGCCGAAGTTTTTTTTCATCTCTATGCTAAACTCGCTAAGCCAGTAGAGTTCGTTGTTTTTTTTTAAATGTGACATTTTTATGTTGGAATTGTTTTGTTATTACGCGACGGCCGACAGTGTCTGAGAATGCGAACGAATGGTGATCTTAAAGACTTAGCGATCGCGTTGGTTACACAAGTATTCAGCACAATAGTTGCGCTGAGTTAAATGCGTGAAACCGAACGCTATTGAATGTCATTAACGTGCAAGCACATTTGAATATCCGTCAAATAGGTGTGGAAAACCGTAATTTGTTCGGTTTTTTTTCTTTTTTCTTTTTTTCTTTTTAGTATTAAAGAATAAAGAAGAAGAAGAAATAAGAATAAGGTAAGTTAAAAATGCAGAGTTTTTCATTATTTCGAACAATCAATCAGTGGATAGAAAAATTTCAATTTAAAATGGGAATGCACCATTGCTAGCGAAAAAGTGTTGGAATTAATCATTAGTTGAAAGATAATCAAACGTACCTTTTGTAACGTGAGTTTGCTATTTAGTCTTGTTACAATGTAAGCGGTTATCATTCCTATTAAATACGGACCAACTCTGGTCCATGGTGGATCATATAATACACTCAGCATGTGATACTGTTGGTCCATTCTGTGAATTGAAGGAGAAGAAAATAATATTGAATTTTAAATGGGACTATTCTAATCCCTAAAAATACGAATGTAAATTATCCACTCTCGTAGGCTAATTTCATTTGACCAAAGCACCACGAATACATTTCATTTAAAAATACAACGTTAAATTCACGAAGAATCGAGGTATTGATGGTATGCGCTGCAATTTCGTTTATTGTATATAAAAATTTGTAATACAGCGCCAATAAAAGTGATTTGATAATACGAATTTACGTAAAAATTATGGTTATTGTGTGATGTTGCAATAAAATTAAGAAAGTCAAATTTTCTGGCTACTTAAACTCGTGGATATTAATTTGTATCGTAAGAATAGAATTTATTCGAATTAGTGGAATTGGCATAACTCCCTACTCCCAATCAAACTCTACAACTAATGGAATTCTTTCGTCAATAATTAATTATTTGAAATAATATTCTATTTATTTGCGTGTACTTACGTAGGCACGTAATCGTTAATGTAGGATATGTAGCCGGTGATAACGATCGAACCGATCAATAAGCACAGGACTATTGTCACTGTTGTATAAAACAATCTTAAAGAAAAGAAAACAAATTAAGTGTTTTGACATATGTCACAATGTAAGTCGAATTATGTAGAAATGAAAGAAAAACTTACGCGGATGAAAGGATCAATAGAAACGTGCCGATTATAAAGAACTGCATGTCATTCGATAAGTACCAACTCCATGACATGCACTTTTAGTAACAAAAAT